CACAGGGGTCGATCCTGGGACCTCTTCTTTTCAATCTCTACATGCTGCCGTTAGGTCAGTTAATACGCAGAAACGAAGTTTCCTATCATAACTATGCAGACGACACTCAGATCTATGTCTCACTGACTGCAGGAGAACATGGACCAGTGGACTCACTCCTTCACTGTATCCAACAGATCAGTGAGTGGATGCAAAACAACTTCCTTCAGCTAAACGCAGACAAAACTGAAATGATTGTCTTTGGTCCCCAGAAACAAAGAGAGAGCGTCATCTGTCATCTACAGTCTCTCTCCCTAAAACCTTCAAACAAGGTCAGAAATCTAGGGGTAATACTGGACTCAGACTTAAATTTTAATAGCCACATCAAATCAGTAACATCAGCAGCTTTTTACCATCTAAAAAACATTTCCAGGATCAAAAACATAGTGTCTAAAGCAGACTTGGAGATTCTTATCCATGCATTTGTCTCCATTAGGTTAGACTACTGCAATGGCCTGCTCACAGGTCTGTCCAAACAGGCTGTAAAACAGCTGCAGTACATTCAAAATGCAGCAGCTCGAGTCCTGACTAGAACCAGGAAGTACGACCATATTAGTCCGGTCCTCAGGTCTCTGCACTGGCTTCCTGTGGCTCAGAGAATAGACTTTAAAACAGCTTTGCTTGTGTACAAGTCTCTCCATGGCCTCGCACCAAAATATATTAGTGACATGTTAGTCCCATATGAACCAGCCCGGACTCTGAGGAGCACAGGGACTGGACTCCTGTTAGTGCCCAGAGTCAGAACTAAACATGGGGAGGCTGCTTTTCAGATTCATGCTGCTAAAGTCTGGAACATTCTTCCTGAAGATGTAAGACAGGCCTCCTCTCTGACTATGTTTAAAACCAAGTTAAAAACTGTGCTGTTTAGCTGTGCATACAACTGAGGGATTTTATATTTTTATCTTTCTTTTTAATGTTCTGTGATTATTTATGATTTTAATGCTATGTTGTTCAGCACTTTGAGTTGCCTTGTGTATGAATTGTGCTATACAAATAAACATGCCTTGCCTTTCCTAGTTGTAAATGGATAGCATAGAATACTGTATACATTTAGAAACAAAAAACAATGCTAAAAACAACAAAAGTGGGAAGTGTGATGGGATAACTAGTGCTAGGTGCTTCTCATCTCAAAATAGTTAGCAGCAAAAGTGGATATATATGTAACTATTAATTGTCAAACTTCAGCCAATTCAGTACAGAACATACTCTGAATGTATTTGTGTTGCTGTACAAGTTACAACATCTGGTACAAGCTCAAAAGGAGTAGGCTGAAGCAAAAAAGCGTGTGGATGCCTACCCCTCCTTCATGAAACTGGGGAATCTTGTGAAATAATATTAAGCCTAAGGGATGAGTGCTTTATGAAAAAGAAAGGGATAAAAAAGAAAAGGGATACACTGTATGTTGCTGTTTGCTATACCTTAGTGAGAACAAGCATACATGTATTGATACATACAGACATATACAAACACACATACATGTACAGTACATCTATACACATTCATACTCTAGATACATATAAAGACATACTTTGACACATACAAACAAACAAGTACAAAAGTTTTGTACTGTTGACTTAAAAAAAAGTCTCCCAATGAATGTATGCCTGAACGGTCCTATTCTGTGATTTCATTTGATCAGAATTACTCGGTTTTTCCTCCAAATCTCTGCTCAATTAAGGAGTATTCGCTTTTCGATTGTTTGAAAGTCTTTTGTTTGGTTCAGCATAATAAAAAGGTACAACTCCATAGCATTTTTGGCCAAAGTTAATAGAGGCCACAGAGAGGAGGGAATGATACAGATCTCCAAATGTGGGAAGAAGAAATGATCATGTTGAAGAAGACTTGTCTCGGCAGTCCAGTCGGAAACTGTCTGTTTGAGCAGAAGGGGAGGGCTGACCTGTGCTCTGTGATTTTGGACATAAATCAAGGTCCACCCAACCATCAGCTGCAGCTTAGATAATTTTAGTCAAGGACATGTGTGTGACTGCATAGTGAATGGACAATACTACACTATCATGGCAGCTGTTGCCCTGTGCCAAAACCATGTGTCAGATTTGTTTAAATTGTGACATCAATCAGTTGAGAAATGTAAAGTATTTCACAAGCAAATTCTACAAGTATCAGTAAAAATGTCTGTTTGATTCTCTGATCTGTGAATCTCGTCTGAGACAACTGCTATTGTAATTTATGGCTGTTAAAAAATACATTGAATTTAATTGAAAATGTAAACCCAAATCTGTTCAAATCCCCCTGCTGTACAAAGACCACTACTGGATGGTACTCTATTGAGTAAAGCTGCTAATCAGAGAACTGCACGCCTGTTTAGTAGCTGGCCACTAAAGTTAGCTGGAGCCTGATCTCATGCGGTTAGCATTTGGAGCTGTTGCCACGGGGCAGGAAGCGATAACAATGGTGTTCCCAAATATTCTCTTTAAGACACTAATGATTGTACTCAGCTGAAGGAGCTAATATAGAACCAACTCACCGGATTCCAATATTAATAAATATTACTTCAAAGATACTGGGTCTCCCTTTTGAAAAGGAAAGATATCAAAAAAATAAGGATATATTTTTTTTGTGTGTCTTATTATCTATAATAATAGATCTTGTTTGATGTGTATCATCTGAGTGCTCTCATTTCCTCCTTTTATTCTGCTGTAACGTGCACAATGATGACATTGAAATTTCTCCACTGTGGATGAATAAAGAACTATCTTAACTAGAAACTTGCAATGGCTGAAGCCATTGCGATTGACTGCGGAACAGATCTAATGTGGAAATCTGCTAAAAAAAATCCTTGAAATCCTTTAAAAAGCCTTGAAACTGTTAAAATACTTGATAGATATTTGAAACTCCTGAAGTCCTTGAAATTGTTGAAACCTTTAAACTCCTGAAATCCTTGAAACTGTTGAAACATTGAAACTCCTGAAATCCTTGAAACTTTTTTAAACCTGGAAACTGTTGAAAGTGTGGAAACTCCTGAAATCCTTGAACCTCCTGATATCCTTGAAACTGGTTAAATTCTTAAACAGCTGAAATCCTTGAAACTACTGAATGTATTGAAAGTGTCCTTGAAACTGAAAAATCCCCTCACCGCTGAAACAATTTGGTTCCTGTAACTAAGGAAACCTGGTCTGTGGTCATTATCTGGTGGTGGTCTGAGTCTTCGTTTGGGTCTTGGTCTGGTGGTATAATGCAACCTATTAGGTTGCATTATACATGAAAAAACCCTATTAAGTTGCATTATACTGGTTTACATGAAAAAAACCCTATTAAGTTGCATTATACTGGTTAACATGAAAAAAACCCTATTAAGTTGCATTATACTGGTTTACATGGAAAAATCCCTATTAAGTTGCATAATACTGGTTTACATGGAAAAATCCCCATTAAGTTGCATTATACTGGTTTACATGAAAAAAACCCTATTAAGTTGCATTATACTGGTTTACATGGAAAAACCCCTATTAAGTTGCATTATACTGGTTTACATGTAAAAACCCCTATTAAGTTGCATTATACTGGTTTACATGGAAAAATCCCTATTAAGTTGCATTATACTGGTTTACATGAAAAAACCCTATTAAGTTGCATTGTACTGGTTTACATGGAAAAATCCCTATTAAGTTGCATTATACTGGTTTACATGAAAAAAACCCTATTAAGTTGCATTATACTGGTTTACATGTAAAAACCCCTATTAAGTTGCATTATACTGGTTTACATGGAAAAATCCCCATTAAGTTGCATTATACTGGTTTACATGAAAAAAAACCCTATTAAGTTGCATTATACTGGTTTACATGAAAAAACCCTATTAAGTTGCATTATACTGGTTTACATGGAAAAATCCCTATTAAGTTGCATTATACTGGTTTACATGGAAAAATCCCTATTAGGTTGCATGATTACACTGAAGTCCTTGAAACTGCTGAAGTCCTTGAAACTGCTGAAGTCCTTGAAACTGCTGAAGTCCTTGAAACTGTTGAAGTCCTTGAAACTCTTGAAATCTTGAAACTGCTGAAATCCTTGAAACTGTTGAATCCTTGAAACTGTTGAATCATTGAAACTGTAGAAATGTCTGAAAGAGCTGAAGTCCTATTAAAATGCATGGGCCTATTAAAATGCATTGCAGAATTCTCAATGCAGATTTTTGTCCGATTGCGGAAAAACCGGAAATCGCTGAAGTCCCAAAAGTAATAGCAATAATCTCCCAAACATGTGGAACGTTTTGATGTATAACTTGTGGAAATTGTTGAAAATGTGAAAGCTGTGAAACGTGTCAAAAAAAATGACGGAATAAAGAAATACAAAACCAATGGTTGACTGCGGAAGGTTCCGCAGTCAATCAATAATGGCCTGTGAGTTACCAGTGAAGAATAGACGGAGCAAATGCCCCAACAAGGTTTTCCATGATTATTCCAAGTTCCAAGTAAAACTGAGAATGTTTTAGGTAACTGTATTGTTGAGTAGATTTGAAGATTTCCATCTCAGAGAAAATGTATCAACGGCATTTGATCTATCCTTCAATTCCACTGGAGCAGCCTGTCAGTGGGTATCACAGCACAGATGCCTCTCTATAGGGTGAGCTGAGGGAAAGTCCACCCAGACTCTGGGAAGACACATATGAAATCCCAGCAGAGTGGTCTGGGGATTCAACACACATTCATCTTCTTATATTGGCACTTGTGTCCTCAACTAACATTGTCATTGACTGCATTTAGATACAGATGTTGTAGAACTTATTGAGTATTGTACATGGTCTTAAGTGTGCCAAGTTGTTTTGCTGCAGTTTCTGTTCCTTTCAGTGCCCACAAAATATCACCATCTTAAAGCTAAAGGAATGAGTATTTTCTGAAAATAGTGTCAAACCCTTAACCAAGAAGAGTTTATACTTATAAAAAGATAAATAAAAAGATGCAGGTATCCACACACACACATTCAAAGAAGCAGAGACTTACCTGCAGTAAGAGATGAGAGCAGACAGGGACAGTTGCAGACTGGAGTGTGACTATAATGTGGAGCCGGGGGTTTTATGTGGGAACAGCACTTGTGTTTAAGCTGGGATATTACGGTTATACATAACTAGAATAACCGGGAGTGAGGCTGCGGGGCGAGGGGCCACATGTGGATTAGAAAGATGAGCAGTCTGAGGGATAAGGGAAGAACAGAGGGATGACCTCACTGGACAAATGCACAGCTACCGCCCGACACCAACTGCTCACGGGACAGGGAGGAACACTACAAAGGAGATTGACAGTTTGACGTGCCAACAACTGTAATAGTTCTGTTTGATTCCAAATCTGATGTTAATTTTAAATTTAGAGCAGAAGTGGTAGACAAGACACACAGCTTTGAATGTGAGGGGACAATTTGAACATACTACTAAGTGGATGTTTTTCAATACTACTATAATATATCATTATGTATATAAAATGAATGCATGTTGTTTTTACTATCTGTAAGTTTTTATGTTTCAGGATCTTTTTTGTGTCCAGATGCTTATTAGATTGTACCTTTCATTTTACATATTACAGAACTTTCAAGCACAATCACGTTTTTATTTTTGTTACCACTTCCACTCCCTAATTACCACCCCCACCTAGGTTCTTATAAAAATACAAATAAATGTAAGAAAAATACAAGATTGGTTTATTGCAAAAAAAAGAAGTAACAACTTATGAAGAGGCAACAGGCATAGTAACTGTGAGGATCTGAAAAAGAAAATCATTTGAGTAGAATTTAATTGAATACAATCCTGCAAGTTTTTGTTGTGATTTTGGATGTACCTGAGTCGAGGTGTTGTACTGAGCCATGCTGCTCTGCTGTTCAATGAGAAAAGGGTGGAAGATGTCCAGGTGGTACATAGAAGGTCGGGCCTTCAGAACCAGTCTGTCCTCCCCTATGTCCAGCAGCAGAGAGCGAGCTGAGGTCTGGTCAAAGAGTTCAAGAAACATATAATCAAATCATAGATGGTAGAACATGATGTCAGAATGTGCATTACAGAAGCACATGTGTCCACTGACACGTTGGTCACTACTGTGAACATGAGCCGTAGTTTCATTGGCCCTCATTTATGAAACTTGCGCAGAAAAGGGTGTATACCTTTGGTGTAGATTCCAAATACGCAAAATCCAACGTGGGATTTATGAACGTGTGAGATCCGCCCAGATCTGAGCGTACGCACCTGCGGCTGTTAATAAATGTTGCGCTTTACGAAAGTCACGCCTATAAATATTCAGAAACCGCCTGTTTCACGCCCCGTTTTTAGGACAGGTCGGCATTGGAGATCGGCCAGCAAAACTAGTTGGAAGCCTCAAAAAGGCATGTGACATGCACTCCTGAGTTTTTTCATGTTTGTTTATAAATAAATATACACTACATTATATATACGCGTTTTTCCCTAGTGTCTAGATCATAGACTGTATATATTAACGGAAGTAGTCACGCCTATCGCCGCCGTTCTAACTAATGGGCCAAAAATTGGGCTCTCATGGAGTGATTCAAAATGGCCGCGGGGGCTGGAAAATGTGAATAAACGTATCTGCGCATGCGTCAGCCGGCACGAGTCCCATTCATTTAAAGGAGTGACTTCAAAAATTCACAGCAAGTAAACTAGAGTTCACTCCCCTCAGCTTTGACACATGTGGAACGGAGCTTTGGGCCAAGAGCCAACTTTTGGTCCATCCTGTAAAGATGTTTTTGAGAGGTCTGCCAATGCTATATGTTAGCATTGGCTAATTCTTATTCCGGGTCAACCCCCATCGGTCCGGGGTGGTATTGCAAGCATGTCAGCGCACGTCATTTTGGCCACTTTTGAGCCGGGACCCGCCCCCACTGGTCTAGACCCACTGCAGCACTCATTTCTTTCTTGAACTTTAGAAGTGAATGAATGAATGAATACATATCTTGGCCTCACCGGTGGCTCTCATCAAGCGGCTGTGGCATCTTGTGAATGCAATGGAGCGCTGTACATTTGAGATAGGATGCGAATGAGAAGCTTTTGGGGAGTGTTCGTGATTTCACAGAGGAACTCTGGATCCTAAAGGTCTGAAAGACGCGCACCACATTTGAGGAGTTATGCGGTGGGACCTCTCCTGGTACCTGCTATGCACTGCCCAGAGAGCCACTGCCCGTGAGCCCGTTCCTACAGATAAGCGCGTTGACATCCTATATAGCTCCTTTCAGACCAGAATCATAAAGCGCTTCATATAAAAATAAAAAAAACAGATGAAAATAAAACGCATACAAGTCAGAACAAAACGAAGAAACAGAAGAGGGTCCTCATCATGAACTGTGACTTATTCGAAGTTTGCGTGTTTCCATTAGACTATTAGACTTATTACTCCCATACAAGTATATATGTCGTTACCCTAGAGAACAAGTATTAAATGTGAAGCTCCTGAAATGATTTTCAATTATTACTATAACTTTCAGCATTCATGTTCGGTTAAGATGAGCTACCATGGCATGTTATACCTTCATTTAAAACCTATTTTCTCAAGAAAACCTCCTTGTAATATAATTCATTCTAAAAATAAGAATTCAAAACACAGTAACTGAAATAGTTTTGTTCAAAATCTGCCATAAAATAGTCTCCAAATTCAGGTTAGAGTAATTATTTTGTCAAGACGGCATGATAATGTATAAAATGCATACAAATAACGCAGGCCCCGGGAAACTGTTACTTTTTATTTCCGGCCCAGGACCAAAATGAGTTTGACACCCTTTCACTAGAGCATATAGATTATACATTTTTATCCATTTTTTAATATAGTGCGTTATCACACACTTATCTTGTTCCATGTCCCTGTGCTCCTCATTCCTACTGTGTTGTAACCTGTGATGCAACACTACATTTCATCACTGTGGGACAATAAATCTCTTCATCTTAAGCGTAGACAAAAGCAGACAATTGTATTGAGATAAGCATTTTCAGTGGAGTAGAACTTTTAAGATGAGAGATTTTGAGTCTTCTTACTATTCCAGGAAGCTTTATCTCTGCGATGAGATACTGTGCATCTCCCACAGAGGGCTCAACCAGCAACGTGAACTCAGGTCTATGAGACAAAGTACATTATAAATCATGAACGTACAATACGACCATTTCTTAACTAGTACTGTACCTTTTTGTAGTGAGGGTGCTTTCCCTGAAGTCAAATACACAAAAAGACTTAAATTTCACACAAAATAAAAACCATTGCTTATTTGTTTTTAGGTGCATTGGATGATATGCTGCTGCTTAGACTATTTTGGATTGCATAACACAAACATTGACTTTTATTCAGTCAGGTGTTATGAAGTTGAGCTTTTCAATGATAAAAATGCTTTATATCTGTGTGACATACTGAGGCTGCAGCTCTTGGATGACTGGTCGGCTCTTTGTCCGAATATTCTGCTCTCCAATAGAACCCAGAAACTTCCTGTTCTTTAGGACTTTCCAGTCTGTGAAAGAAACGCACATAAGACTGCAGCATAAACCCGAACAGATTGTCAAGAGGACATGTACCTCTGCTCAGCTCCAAGTCATATTTGTTTTCTAAGCCCTCTACGGACACCAGGACAATGAACTGCTGAAAGAGCTGATCCTTCTGCAATCACATAGAAATATTATTTCTTATTCTTCCTCTGAAAACAAGACCCAAGAAGAACAAGCATTAATGCATAAAACTGCAGTTTATATGGAATATATATATGGAAGTGGAAGAAGAGAACCACACAAGCTTTATATAATATTAGTGCAACAGGCAGATTGACAAAGAGAGTTGTCCAATCAATTACAATGTATGTAGATTTTAAATTATATTTAATAATCATGTAATGTGGTTGAAACATGTTTTATGGAAAAGACTAGATAATCTCCTTAGAGTTGGGTAATCAGTAACCTTGCCTGCAAGCTGAATTCTCGCGGTATTTGTGAGTTCACAAACACTCGAGAAACACGTTAGAGAACGCGTTAGAGTTCTACACAATCATCAATCTGGCTCTTGCCAGGTTAGGTAATCAGTAGGGGTTTTTTTAACCTGCAAAGGGACCTGTAAGGAGTTCTTGAATTAAAAACAAAACATGAAAAACAATTTGGTCAGTAAGGCTAATAAGTCTACTAGTAACTTACTTGAAATAAAAAATAATAATTTACATAATTGGGAAATAATTTGGTCTAGTAATTGAAAGCAGAATTTGATCATCAACCTTTTTTTTTCACATAATTAGGTATAATTACTTCTATCAAAACCTGGTTAGTTACCAGGGAAAAAAGTAGCTGCCTCCACCCCAGTCGGCTCTTTGTAAATTTGTGATGTCACGTGGACAACTGTTTTTGGTTGTCTGTCCTGTTTCTCCTTCTTGATGTATTATGTAATGGTATAATTTTATGTAAAAAAATTTTTTCAAAAGAGTCCTTGCCACAGCAGGTCCTGTCAATAGGGGAACATACCCAGAGAAACATCATTTTTATTAGATTTTGCTAAAAAATACACAAAAATGAACACAAATGTGCTGAGATGAGCACAAACCTGACAGGTCTGGAAGAAGTCCTGGTTTATAACCACATCATATGCAGTGCAACCTTGGGAGCCTAACATAAAAGAGACAAACAAAGTTACAAGTAACACCTGTAATGTGGCCTTCTGCAGCATACTTACGCTAATTCTAAAACTGATACAATGTATCTAATGTAACTAATCTAAAGCTGCAGTTCATAGATAGACAGCGTTAAAGAGAGGATCTGTGTGAGTGTGTGTGTGTGTGCACGCGCATGCGTGTGTGTTGCTCTTATTGTAAAGAATTTACAGCTATTTATGTATATTTTGTGTGCTCTCACTACTAAACTGTATGCAACACCAACATTTCCCAAAACCTGGATGAAGAAAGATTCTCTTATCTCTTCATATTTCAAATTGTGAAATGATTCAAATGTTTATTGAATTACATTCACACAGCGGCAGAATTCTGAAATGAATATTCCATACTGTTATCGGTTTCCGTGTGTGGCTCTCCAAGACTCATAGGGACTCTGTATCCACTGGGGTCCTCAGACTGGAGCAGTTCCACCAGCTCATCCCGTGACATGTCAGGAGGGGGCGGGACAGAGTTTGACTGACAGATGTTAATGAAGACCTTCTGCTTTGATGGCTCTATTGTCGTCTTGATACACATGCCTGCAGTGCAATAGAATTAACTCATTTGCCTAGGTCAGAAATTGAGAAAGGCTGTAACAATTATACCAGAATGATTGGCCAACTAATCGATTATCAGTATATTTTTTAAATACATTTGACCAACTCAAGCTCAACTGATGGCCCTGGAGAAATCTTAACTGTTGTAACACTTCTTATAAAGCTCCTAAACAAATTAGTTGGAAACTATTTCAAGAATTGATTAACTTGTGACAGCTCTAATTACAATGAAAGATATTTACCTGGCTGTGGTCGTATGACTCTAGAGTCTGGGTTTTCATTCTGCATTTTTCCCATTGTCTGTCAGAAAAGACTCATTTAGTGCAAATTAATTTGTTCATTGGTAAATTTGGAAGGAGACTTTAAAGTACGAATATGCAATTCTGCGTCCGAGTAGTGTCAGAAAGAACTTAACAATATAAAATACACGGGTTTCCATGATTTAAGATGCCCCTTACAAAACCAATCATAATTAGAATGTGGACAATATAAGGAAAAGCACTTCCTTATATTGTCCACATTGTCTAATACAGCAATTATTGTCCTAATAGCTGTATTAGATGTGTAACGTTACTTTTGATGACATCCTGAATGAACTGGCCTCACCTGCACCAGCAGCTGCTGGTAGAGCTCCTCCTGCTGCTGAAGCTCAAGCTCAGAGTTTAGAAGTGACGAGTCTGTTGTCATTACGATGACAGTGGTTCACAGGACAAGGTACAGACTAACTATATGTGAGACACATACACACCATTAATATTTAGTTTATGACACACACACGAGAATGTACAAGTATTGTAATAAGACATATGCTAACCTGTCATTTGTAGCTTGAGATGTTTAATTTCGGATTATAAAAGCTAACTCGCTATTTAGTGTGGGAAAAGAACGGTGCCTATGGGCTGAAGTAGAAGATCTGAGCGGTCCTAACAACGTGAACGGAACAACATAAGGATACCGGAAGTGGGGTAGCCGAGAGGCAGGCAGCTGCTGCGCTAGCACCGGGAGCTAACAGTGGCTAACAGTTTTTTTTTTTTTTTTTTTTTTTTTAAATATACTTTTATTACAAATCAAAGTACATATCAAAATGTAAAATATACAAACATCATGGCAATCAATGCAAATGTACAAATTGTAGTGCAGTTTACAAGGCATTAGCAAAATAAACAATACAGACACATACACATTCATACACACACTCACGCACACATATAGATGAGGTTACATTAGAGGTCATCAAATATTTGTAAATCTTCAAGTGCTTGAATCAGGGATAGTGCATTTTTACATGTCATCTGTTTCAGGGATTTGACCATAATACATCCATGGATTTGACATAGTTTTCCTGTGTTTGCTTCCGAAATACTGTGAAAATAGGCTTTACCTTTCGCCATTTACATGTATGGATAAAGTATTTTGCCAGCAACAAAATATTATTCACAACAAGTTTTGTCTCAAAATCTTCCAGAAAAAGTCCAAAAACAATATCGTCCCATTTAAATTCATTCTGTAGCTCGATTCTTGATGACAGCCAGTCCCACAGATCGTCCCACAGATCATCTATGTCCTTGTATAGATGCAATCATAGAACAGATGTTCAGTAGTTTCAATGTCATTTTCACAAAATATACAGTTGTTCTGTGCAATATTAAATCTTATTCTGAGCAGCTCACTGGATGGATAGACTTAATTTAGAATTTTGAAGTGTACTTCTTTTGTTTTAGGGCTAACAGGAAATTTTAAATATTCTGTTCTTATTTTTTTTATTTCCTTTAAAGAACATTTTTGAATGATTGAGTTTCTGTTTGGTTCTATAGGAAATAGGTGATTAGTCAGACATTTTCTGAGGGTTTTGTTTGGTATATTTTTTTCAACAAAGTTTTGCTCATATATTTGCAAAGTTGAAAAATTAGGAGTAGGCAAATTATCTAGAGCCATATTTTCTATCTGAATCTTTAGAGCTTGAGGAATTGATTTTAAAATCTTTTTAAATTCAGATTTCTGACATTTGAGATTGTGAAAAGTGCAGAAGTTTTCAAATGATAACCAGTTCCCTTGGTCATCCAGTAGGTGGCGCAATGACCACACTCCTTTATCCATCCAGTTCTGCAGAAAAATAGATTTTCTATTACAGAGGAGTCGACATATCTGTTGTTCCATAGTGGTGTTTGGTGAGGGGTGAAATTGTGATTGTACATGAGTTTCCAGCTTAACAAGACTTGTTTATGAAAGGACGACAACTTAATTGGTAATTTATCAGCGTTGAAATCACACCTAAGGACAAACTCAATACCTCCCATTTTTCCAAATAGACCCCTGGAGAGACAGAACCAGACACTATTTTTTTCTGTTAAAAAAGATCTCAGCCATTTAATTTTTAATACACTGTTTAAGCATTCAAAATCGATTGCTTGAAGTCCACCTTCTTCATATTCTTTAACAGTTTCAGATGTTTTAATATAGTGCACTTTGTTTTTCCAAATAAAGTAAAAATTTATTTTGTTTATGTCTTTTATTGATTTTTCTGGTATAGCCATGGAGTAGGCTGGATAAATACACCTTGATAGAGATTCCATTTTTGTTAAATATGTTCTTCCAAAGACTGTTAAGTCTCGTTGAAGCCATGAATTTAGTTTAGTTTTACATTGATCGATTTTGGCTTGTATATTTAAAGTTTCACTACTGGCTGCGTCTTTAGTTAGGTTAACACCCAGGTATTTTATACAAGACTTAATAGGGATGTTATATGCTTCAGTGAGGGCACAGTCGTGAATGGCCATAAGCTCACATTTACTTCGATTAAGTGTCAAACCAGATGCTGCAGAAAAAGTGTCAATCAGTTTTATTACTTCAGGAATTTGTTCAATTTTCTTGAGGAAAACTGTTGTATCATCTGCGAGTTGACTTATTACAATTTGCTGATCAAAGATCTGTCATTTTTCAATGTATGAGTTTTTCAAAAGGATTGCTAACATTTCTACCACCATTATAAATAAAAAAGGGGAAATATTACACCCTTGTTTTACTCCTCGATTTAAGGAGAAGCGTGGTGTGGTTCCAGAGGGGAGTATTACTGAACTTGTGGTATCTCTATAGAATGTATCAATTACACTGCAAAATTTTGGCCCAAAACCATATGAACGGAGCACTTCAAAAAGGAATTGATGTTCTAACTTATCAAACGCTTTATGAAAGTCAAGAAACGAAATAAATCCTTTGTCATCAATGTGGTCGTTATAGTCTAAGATATCTTTCACTAATATGGAGCTTTCGCGAAAGTTCACCGTGGTAGACCCGGCTGTTGCTGCCAGGCCACAGGCTGCTATTCCTCGACTCATCAATACCAGCAACGCCCACACCCAGTCAACCAATAACCACCAGGACAGCAAGTTAAAAGCCGGAGACGCCCACTTCCCGATCTTCTGAAGTCTGCAAGCTTCTGAAGCCTGCAAGGTGCATGTCGCTAACGCACCTGTTCGCAAATGCATGCGTTGTTCTGGAGGGGTCGCTTTCTGCTCACGTGTTGCTCGTGCGCGTGGCCCGGCTGTCCTCAGTCTGGCTGCTCGTGGTCTGCTCCTCCTCCGCGTCCCTGCACCTGCTGTGGTTCGCGTGTCTCCACTGCTCTCCTCCTCTGCGGGCTCTTTCTGCGGGCTGCTCCGCGGGGCCCCTCCGCGGTTCTGTGCTGCTCGTTCCTCGTGGTCTGCTGCCGCGCGCAGACGGTCTGGCGGTGCCGTGCGTGTCCCTGCCTCCGACTGGCGGTGCCGCGTTGTCCCGTTGCTTTCCCAAGTCTCCTGGCATGTGAGTACAGTGAGAGTGCCGACCGCGGACAGTTTAATCCCGGAGTCTAGGCTGCAGGTGGCTGGTTTTTTGCCCTACGCACTTGACTGCAGGCGTCAGTCTTCGCCCGTGCTTGGTCTGCAGGCTCCGTTTTACACGTGTTGAGCTAACTGAGGGACAATGCATCTTAAATGGCATCAATCTCCAATGTCTGAGGGATATAAGAGGAGCAATGTGCATTAATTCAGATTCATGTTCTGCCACTTGCAGTAAAACCACGTTGGAAAAAATGTGCAAAGACAACCCCATCGTGCTCCAGACGGCACACACAGAGCTCTTGCACGGCGCCATCTTTACAGCATCAATCTCATTACTCGCAAGTCACTATTGTTAAATGATGTATTTAAATTCGTCTATCTGCAGGAGGAAGGAGGGGCCATGCATTTAAATAGCTAGGTCACTAGTATTAAACTGGGTAACTAAACTGCAGTTGTTGCATTTCGAAAGTGCAGCAGAAAGAAAAGGGGCCCAATGTGAATATGCAATGGGTTTGAAGTGGAGCTGGAGCTAATGAACGCATGGATCAGTGATCGTTCATGCGTATCTGCCATAACCAAAGCAGCAAGTTGGCTCCAGGGGACATCTGTTTCTCGCATGGGAATGTTTCGGATTCGGGTTGATTTATTTCCTCAGGCTCTTAAACAACCGTGGGCATGGTTCTCTGACCGCCGCTGCTGCGGTCCCTGCTGCCGTTCCTACTGATGCCTGATCCCGCTGCTGCCTATTCCTGCTGCTGCCTGTCCCTGCTGCCTGCTCCTGCTGCTCCTACTGCTCCTACTACTACATGTGCCGCTGCTGCTGTTCCTGCCGCTGCCGCTCCGCAGGCTCCCAGGCTGCACCTATCTCTACGGCTCGGCTCTTCAGACACGTACGTAACCTGGCTCACGGAGACAAGCGGCGCACGCTGGCGTGACACGTCTGTTGTTCGTATGAATTGCATTGTGCTGCTGCTGCTTGCTGCTTCTGCTGCCGCTACTGCTGCTATTGCTGCCGCTGCTGCTTCATACTGCATCTGCTGCCGTGCTGCTGCTGCTTCTTTACTTTGACACCTCTCTTCACTGCGCATCTCTTTTACTGAAACACTAAACAGCTTCAACTCTATTCTACTGCGGTGGCTTGATACAGGATTATTGCTGTTATTATCTACGGATGCTGCAACCGCTGCTGCTGCTGCTGCTTCATGCTGCTACCGTTACTGCTGCTACTGCTGCCGCTGCTGCTTCATACTGCATCTGCTGCCGTGCTGCTGCTGCTTCATGTACTTGACATCTCTCTTCACTTCGCATCTCTTTTACTGAAACACTAAACAGCTACAACAATATTCTACTGCTCTGGCTTTGATACAGGATTATGGCTGTTATTATCTACGGATGCTGCAACCGCTGCTGCTTCATACTGCTACTGCTGCTACTGCTAATGCTGCTTCTGCTGCTTCATACTGCTACCGTTACTGCTGCTGCTACTGCTGCGCTGCTGCTGCTGCTGCTTCATGTACTTTGACATCCCTCTTCACTTCGCATCTTTTTTACTGAAACACTAAACGGCTACAACAATATTCTACTGCTCTGGCTTTGATACAGGATTATTGCTGCTATTATCGACGGATGCTGCAGCTGCTGCTGCTTCATACTGCACTGCTGCTGCTGCTGCTTCATACTGCTACTGCTGCTGCTTCATACGGCTACTGCTGCTACTACTGCTGCTGCTGCTTCATTTACTTTGCCATCTCTCTTCACTTCGCATCTCTTTTACTGAAACCCTGAACAGCTACAACAACATTCTACTGCTGTGGCTTTGATACAGAATTATTACTGTTATTTTCTAAGGACGCTGCTGCTGCCGCGGCTTGATACAGGACTTTTGCTGTTATTATCTGAGGCTACTGCTGCTGCCGCTGCTGCTACTGCTACTGCAACCCATTCTCTCAGAAGCTTATCCTGCTTCTAATGGATGCAGCCCGGCTGAGTATGCCGCGCTGCGCCGGACT